TTCGAATCCTAGTAATTCTTGTTTCCAGGATTTTTCAAGGTGAAACAAGATCCTATACAGGATTTCTTCAGGTTCCTGCTCAGATATTTTTCTGAACTAAGAATGCAGGATCCTATCAGGATTTACTCAAGAACCTATCAAGGATCCTCTCAAGTTTTTGAGAAAGGATTCTGTCAAGATTTTATCAGGCTCTCTTCAGGACCTAGTCAAATCTTTGCATCAGGATCCTGTTAGGATTGATAGCCACATCATTCAAGGATCTTGACAAGAAAATAACAAGAACAGTCACAATGCAAAACTGACTAATCCTAGAAAGCTTCAATCAGGATCTTGTTCAGATTTTTTCAAGAATATGCGTTTTCAAACCTTGCAACACAATATCAATCTTAGTCAGAATACTGATGAGAAAATGTAAGGATTTAGCAAAGATCTTTACCGGTTACTGCTTAGTCCACTCAACCATGGCCATTTCTTGGGATAGACTTGAAGGATCCTGTCAGGTTTGATTCAGGATTCCATCCAGAATTTGTTCAGATTGTTGTTTGGATTTTTTCTGAATTGAGTTTACAGGATCCTTTTAAGATACACTGGTAATCCTATTCAGAAATCTGACAAAATTATAAAGAGAATTTCGTCAAGATTTCATTACGTTTTAGTGAAGATCCGTGTTGGATCTTGATAGAAGGATTCTGCCAAGAGTTAGAATTATATCAGAGGAGGATTATACCAAGAATAGAACATGATTATTCAGAATACTCAACTAAGAAATCCTGACAAACTTCGATCAGGTTCCTGAGAGGAACTGCTCAAGATCAGGTATTTCGAATGCTTAAAAAAGGATACAAGTATGGCCAGGATCTTGATAAGAAAATACAAAGAGCCAGTTAAGATCTTTCCAGGTTTGTGTCTATAGCCTATTTCAAATTTAATTTTCAGGTTCCTATCAGGAACCTAGCAAGAATGAGTGAAATGGTTTCGTCTCGTTTTTAGCTTGGTTAAGATCATGATCCTTTCAAGATTTGAAAATCTAAAGATCATAATAGAATTTCAATAAAAATATTGAGCAAAATCTTAACAAAAATAAACTGAAGCATTCTTCAATATGTCATGGTGCTTTTTGTTCAGAACACAATATAATTCTGACAACTGAAGAATTTACTGCTTTTCTTATCCTCATTTTGATCTGGGTCTTTTTGTAAACAAAAAGAACGATTCTTAACAATGTTGGAAAAAAATATTCTAAATCGCTTTGAAGTTTGTGTAAAAGTTGTTTTGAGATTCTAACTATAGCAAGGAGTTAGTTCTTAATCCTATCAGGAAAAGAACATTGAAAATCATTAAATTAGGATGTTAATTGGAATTTACACATCGGAAAATGTTTTCGTTAAATATTTAATTTTAATTTTAGTCAACAGGAACTTTTTCGAGAAAACTGCTTATAGTTTTGATTATCTTCGAAAAACAAATTTGCAAATGTATTTTTTCAATCGAATTAAAATTTTAAAAACTCCAGGTATATCTTTAAATATAACTGAAATAAAAAATTCTAAATATATTTTTAAATAGAATTGAAATTTAAAAAAAATAGTAAATTTCACCGACTAAAATAAATGTGCAAAATGATATTGTATTTTCAGAATTTTTTTGAAATAATTTCTATCTATATAAAATTCAAATAGAAGTTTGCATTAGTCAGAAATTACTATGTTGAACGTTGAAGTGATATAGAATGACATGGCACATCCAGCTCGGTAAGCTGATCGGTATGTAAACTGAAAGTCTAGAGATCGATACTCTATGTGTTCATTTCTCTTATATTCTATTTAGAAAATCCTGCAAAGATCCTACCAAGAAACTGATAAGATGCGCAATGAAATCTAGTTAAATCCTACAAAGATCTTGTCAAGAAACTTGATAATATCTTCGAGAAGACCCAGTAAAATCCTGAAAGATACCATCAGAAATCATTTTTTCTAATTTTGAATTATTGAAATCCTGAAAGGATCCTACACTTTCGTGGCTACACATTTCTTTAAGGAATCATCGATTTCCTGGGTCAATCTTGATTTAAAAAACAATGTTGAACTTGTCAGGACCCTTGAAAATCTTGATTCGAATCCTGCCAGGATCCTAGTAAATCTTGTTTTGAATCCTGATAGGATCCTAAAACTCCGTGGCTACACACTTCTTTCAGGAATCATCGATTTCCTGGTAGAATCCTGATTCAAAAACAATGGTGAACTTGTCAGGATCCTTGAAAATCTTGATTCGAATCCTGTCAGGATCCTAAATTTCCGTGTCTACACACTTCTTTCAGGATTTAGTCGTTTCCTCAGGAAAAAATAGCGAATCCTTGCAAGATCCTGACTACATCTGTCAAGGATCCGGCGCTGAAACATCAAAGATTTTCCCTAGGGTAGGATTGACGATCGCTCTGATGTGATGGACATCGACGACCAATCTTCTTTCGAACAAACTCATACAGATATATCTTTTAATATTAAGGATTTTTGCACCGATGATCAATCAGAGATAATGGAAATTGATGAGCAATCTTCTTTTGAAAATTATGAAATGACTGATGAAGAAAATGATCAAACCCATACAGATATATCTTTTAACTTGAAAGAACTTAAAACTGGTGGCCTACGTGCTTCAACGATATTTGACGAGAAATCTCCTATCGAAACTTACGAAATTGTTGATTTAAGTACGAGAAGGATTCTTGACCACTTTCTTCTTGTACTTGGTTCTAATAATACAACAGACACTGATCAGATTTCTAATCAAGCTCGAATAATCAATGATTTAATTAAAAAATCACCATTTATAACTGTGCACAGTAAAGACCAATCTGTGCGATTAAAACCAAAAACGGAATATTCTGTTCAAGCACTTGATTCAGTTTATGCTAGAACTCGCACAACTGGACATGGCAATTGTTTATATAGTTCTCTTTCGATAATAAATATCGGGTCTGAAAAACTAACGCATTCGATGAGATTGTTGGCAGTCAATGCAATGATTAATAGTAGAGACTATTTCGAAAAACTTTGTAAATTATTGCACTATTCTTTTGAAGAACAGTTGAAAAGAACTGCTATGAATACAATATGGGCTGGAGAAGTTCAAATTCAAGCGCTTTCTATAGCTCTATTTCATCCTATCTATTCATATATGTAGTTTAATAGCGATCCACAAAATAGACATTTTATTTCATCGAGTATTGAATTACAGGAACTAGTTGATCGATTTTTTAAAGGGACAGCAGGCGGTTATTTAAAATACATAGGATATAAATCCGATATGAATAAATTAGGATTTTGTCTTTATTTCAACAGTATTCACTATGATGCTCTTTTACTTTATCAAGATAATCCTCAACAATTTTTACCACACTTTGACTTGATTAATATGAGTTTATAACAAGATTTCAGTAAAACAACCAAGTTCTCCTTCATGCGATTGAATAGAGTCTCCGGAACTAACTCTTCGCCGCGTCCTATGGGACAAAAAGAGGGCATCCGCAGGGTCTAAGGGGCAGTTCCTTAGTGCGCTCAAGGATGAATTGTTTTAGGCAGTTTGATCAAAACCAATCTACCACCGGCTTCACTTTTTTGAAGTACACATAACACTCGTATTTTAATCCGAGGTTTCCGCATTTATTTAATCTATTTATTCGATTATTGATATATTCCTTGATATTATTTAACATAGTTGTATCATTGATAATATCATTATTATTTGAGAAGAGTGATTCCAATTTAATGAATTCATTTTGATATTGTTGTTCATATTCTCGTATTTTTATTTCATAAATATTTCATAAATAATTTAACCAGTGACATTTTGCTTCTTGTATAATTTTAAAACGTTAATTTTTTATTTCAATGGCTTTTGCATTATTATTCAATGGTAAATAATCAATAGATGAGATAAAATCTTCCAAATGATAAAAATTTTGTAGTAAAAATTTACAATGAATTCGTATTTCTAACATTGATTGTTCTTTCCAAATTTCTGCTTGTTTTTCTCGTATTGTAATCGATCGATTAATATATTCATTGTGAAAAGATAATCATTCAATAAGAAACATATGTATTCGACTAAAAATCAAATGGATTTACTTGTTGATTGCTCATCATAGAAGACGCGGATATCGTTGCCAATCGTTTTTTTTTCAGAAATATCATCTTTAAATTTGATCAATTTATCACTATTTCTTTTTGATAAATATTTTCGTTCATGATTCACTAATTCTTTGAGGTATGTTCAGATTTCCGAAAAAGGAAATTACAGAAATTTCCGAAGCTTCCATCAACTCGATTACTATATAGCAAAGCAAATGAAAATTTTTTGAAAATATTTGAAAGTTTAGAAATTTCGGAATCTTCTGTAATTTCGGAAATTTTGCTTTGTACAGAATTTTGGAAATTTCAGAAATTTCGGAAATTGTATAGTTTTGGGAAATACCAAACAATTTAGAACACAAGTACTTGAAATTTCCAAAACTTCCAAAATTTCCTTTTTTGGAAGTCTGTACACTGCTGAATTCTTTAAGCCGATGTTCAATTTATTCAAATGATAATTCTTTAATCGGACATATTTGAAATTGTTATTCTTGTTTGGTCAATTCAAATTGACAATGATTCAATTGTTTTTTATTATTTTCTATATCATTCATTACACATTGTTTACATAAATCGAAATTATTTGTCTTTGCCATCGTATAAAATTGATTCTTAATATTAATTCAAAAGAGAACGTAAAGAATGATTTGAAGATAAAATAAAATAAACTTACTGGCCATAAATGTTGTTGTAAACCAATATATCTATATATATATATATCGGGTGTCCCAGGAATAATGAGCCTCTCAGTATTTTACCAATATCTCCGTCAGTTTTCGTCGCATAGATTTAACTCTTTTCACCAAAAAATTCTTCATTCAGTTCTCTACAAAACCGTATAAAACGTTTTAATGTAAAAATGAACCGTGAAAAATTCTAGGCTACAGACTACAAGATACCAAAATGACGAATTTTGCAAATTTGTTTTGCCAATTTTTATTATCTTAGCGGTGGTGAGATGTGCGATATACAGAAAAACTGAATGAGTAATTGTGTAGCCCTAGAAAAACTCTTTCTTGATGGGAATTAAAAATTCCATTCAACACTTTAGTTCTCATACAGCCAAGCTTTTTCTTTTCCACATATTTCGAATTTTTCGGCAGGGCTTTGGCGTTAATTTGGAAAATTCCGACGCCTATGTCCTAAACTAACTTTTTATGCTAAATTATTGTTGCTCATTTTAGGGCAAATGATTAGCCTACCAAGCCTATGCAATGGCCTGTATATATTCTTTGCTTTGTATAAAAATGTGTCTTGATAAAACGAATTTCGACGATTTCACGTTGTTTTGTAAGAAATATGACCATTTGTATAGTACTATCCTGTTCAAACGACCTACATTAAAGATCATGAGAACGAAGATATTTGAAAATATCGAAAAGCAGGGACGAGCACAACTAGGCGCCTGCCAAATCATAGATAAAAGATAATTATTTTTTGAAAAAAACGCAGTTACAAAACTCATCATTTTGGTGTCTTGTAGCCTGTAGCCTAGAATTTTTCACGGTTCATTTTTACATTAAAACGTTTTATACGGTTTTGTAGAGAACTGAATGAAGAATCTTTTGGTGAAAAGAGTTAAATCTGTGCGACGAAAACTGACGGAGATATTGGTAAAATACTGAGAGGCTCATTATTCCTGGGACACCCGATAAATTTAACTTTTCATTTGAATAAAAGTTAATTTATTTTAAATTAAAATTTTTGAAAATTTATTTCTCGATTTAATAAAAATTTTTAAATTTAAATGTGACACCCCTATGAACTGACTTCCAATAAATTTCCAACAAAAATTATTAAAGATCACTAGAATCTCCAAATATTTAGAAAAGAAATAGAAATATCTCAAGATAATAGACATCACAGTTTTAAACAACAATAGGTGTGTTTAGAATGGAATTTTTGGGTGAGGGTGTGTTAAGCTACCATGATATCGATATTTCATCTCAGCATCGAAGGTGTGTCAAGCATACCAAGATCCAGATTTCAATCTCGCTTAAGAGTCATCAACAGTTGTTTTTGACTCTGCTGCATTCGTTTTGAATGATTATCAATTTGTTTCGAAAAAAATCACAAACAAAGTACAATAATCTATTCAGAATTGGAAACGAAATTCAAAAGAAATTCAAATGAAATTCAGAAGAATCCTATTTTAGAGTCGATAGATATCTTTAAAACAGTGATGTGTCAAGCATACCAAGATCCAGATCTTGAAGGTGTGGGTGTGTTTTATAATAGATGATTTCAAGCTCCATATGACGCGTTTCGACTGTTGCTTAGGCAGTCTTCATCAGATAGGTTAGAAATCGCATAACGACGTGAATATAATCTAATCAAATAACTATTCTTTAACCTTAATATTAAATCAGTTATTTATGGAAGTTCCAAGAATAAATCAAAAAGGGTGTGAATATGATTAAGCTATCATAATCAGTTTCGATCTTGCTTAAGGATCTCTTCAGATGGCAAATAATTCTTATATGATTATTTAAAATAAATTAAAAATGACAAGAATCAATATCTATTCTGTTATATATCGAAAAAATTCTATATCTAATGATAGATTGTGTTCAAAGCGGTATGATTTGACATGGTAATATTTAAATCAAAAGCTAGGAATTTGTGTCTCGATTTCGTACAAAGAATCATCAATTGTTAATCGTGGAGCAGATGAACGTGTGGGTGTGTTTTTCGAAAATGAGAATAACAAGTTATTCTTGTTGCATTCCTATGGACCTTATGCTATTAGTTTAAAGTGAATTGTAAAGAAGTTACATCATTGGCATCGGAATCATATTCGGATGTCGAATTTATGTGAGAATCAATTATGTTGGAAATGGCTGATCGTTGCTTTGGAAGTATTTTGGCTGCATGTGTGCAGAGGGTGCCCTGAGCTTGCTTGTTTCTAAGAAGTAGCTGTATTATAGTAAGAAGCTAATGGTTTCATTTTCTATATTGACATGATGTGCTGGTTTATTCGAAATGTGAATGATGAGATCATTTTATGATAATAGTTGTAGATATGGAATCATATGCACATGTGTGACGATGCTATTATGAAAGGAGTTAATTGGCGATGATACCGTGCGCCTTAGTGGTAGGTTGGTTTGTTTCTAAGATCTATTGTTACATTTCATCTTCTTTTGAATTGAGAGATTTTTTATTTATTTATAAATAACAACATGAATTTGCCAATAAATAAAATTATTGGCAGGTTAGATTTGCTTGAAAATTCTATGTTTGTTTATCAGTTTCATGTTGCACTTTGCTCCCTGGATTGCTTCTCCCATGTGGAATATGTTTGATCATGCTGGTCATCAATTGTTGTTTTAAATTGGGATTCAAATAAGTTCCAACGTTTAGAGAAGTATTGATTATCTCTGTACCATCGAAAGTGCGAATCCACAATTCATGAATATATCGCTGATTATTGCTGAGTCTTTTTTCATGCCTTTCATGAATTATGAGACGTTTTCTTGCTGTGAATTCGTTGTTCTCTGTGGGTTGCGGAAGCTGGTTTGCACGTTTTTGTCATAAGGTTGATAGGTAGTTGACCGTTTGGTTCTTGTATCGTATGTTATATCTGTTGATGTTGTCAATAACTGATGACGTAAATAACTGAAGTCATCAGAGTTATTGAGCATAGGCAAAATGAAATGTTAAGATAAATATTTACTGAATAATGTACAGAGTCGCCAATCGATATGCCTTGGTTGGTACCTATACGTCAGATACAAAGCATGAGAAACGTGAATGAATACGGGAAACTCACCCATTATAGAGAAACATGAGTTTCATTTTTCGTACTTCTTCTTCGAATTGAGACAAGGTTGTTGAATAACGAACTGCTATCATAATAGCAGTATCAACAGTGTTTCCAAAAATATGACCAGGATGATCTGATCCAAATGGTACCACATATGGCTCAGCTGCTGCTTTATGATAAACTGAAGTTATTAATGCTCCGTTACTGTTCTGAATGAATACATCAAGAAATGGAACACTTCTACCGATTTTTCACACTAGTTTAATGTTTGGATGAAAGTTATTAGCTCCATCTAACATTTGGTCGATAGATTCGAGTGAATCGTTCGACGTAAAGAAAATATCGTCAACATATCTAAAATGAGATATAATAGTCAAAATATATTCTTTTATGAACCATGTTAAATACCGGCCGTAGATTTCATTGGATACTTCCAGTCGGTGAACAAGTTGTTTCTCCCATTTCCACATGAAAATATTAGCTATTGTCAAAGTAAATGCTAAGCCCATTGCACCACCAATGACTTGTTGATAGAATTTCTTCTCATAAACAGAAACATTTTCTTTAATGACAATAAGAGCTAACTTTCGAATAATATTGATTGGAATATTTTGAACTTTTTGATAGCCATGTTGAAGGAGAAATTCAATTAGAATATCAAGTGATTCTTCTTGTGGTCGCATCATATATAAATCTGTAATATCAAACGTACATAAATAAGTTTTTGGTATGAGATGTCCATTTGGGTGTGTATACTTCTAAACGATGAATCAAATCAACTCCATCAATAATTGTGATTGAACACGCATGTTTATCAAATATTGGTCGTATTAATTTGTCCAAAAACTTTGAAATTCCTGTCGTTGGCATATTCATTGATGATACAATAGGCCTCAATGGTGTTCCTGCCTAGTAAAATGAGTTGAAGAGAGATAAAATTCAAAAATTAGAAGTGAATTACCTTGTGAGGTTTAGGAACAGGGTTGCCACCTGCTGAAGTCCAAAAAGCGGAAAACTGATCTTAAAAAGCGGAAAATAGCGGGGGAAAAGTGGAAGCTTATATTGTTGCAGATTTGTGATGCTTGTGAGAATATTTGGCATTTTTCTCATATATATTGGATTTATTTTCATTTCATCAAAGTTTTAAAATATAAAAGAATGATGGCTCACGGTATTTGTAAACAATAAGAATTGATTCAATAATATCAAATATTATTCTGTACGTATGTTTGATATGCAACACGTTTTATACGAAAAAGCGGAACAGCGGGAAAATAGCAGAAAAAAAGTGAAAAAAAGGAAGAGGTGGCAAAGCTGAATTAGATGAAATTACTGGCAGTGATTCCGGGAATTCCGGAATTGTGTTGCAAGGGGTAAGCGGAATTGCCGGAATCAGATGGAATTGGTTCCGTGAGCGGAACTGGTTCCGGAATGTTCAACATTGCGGAATAGGATGTATTCTCGTTACTTAATGAACATACTTTTCAATTTAGAGTAAAATTCCTCTAATCTGAACACCCGTGGGACTTTCAGAAATCGTTCACATTGCGGGGTGATCAGATAGGAGGGGGTCTATAAAAACATGGAGTGTTTACGATTTTTCCAGTATGTATTAAATGTGTTATAGCGGTAAATTATGGTTTATTAAAAATATCCTTAGGCAAACTTCTTTTGGTATGTGCACGATACGCCTGAGAATCTGGAGCAAGAAAGTCCTGCGCTATGGACACGTCTTGAGGAAAGACGTGAGATCTTTCGGCAAGTTCAAGTTCTAGAGCTTCTGGCTTCTATAGCGTAATATTCTTTCTTATGCACTTGAACTCTCATGCAAGCGATTCTGTTGTTAGATAAATATTTTTAGTTTTTTGTCTCATTTTTAGGCTTAAAGTAAATCAGTTCCTAAAAAACCTCATAGGTGCATATTCTTGAGTTAAGCGCATGTGATATATGATTGCGACTCATGCAGACACTTAAGCACCTGTCTTGTACAAGAAAATCTTGCGCTATTGACATATATCGAGGTCTGCGCAGATCACGAACATAAAAAGAGTTCACATATGCATACTTGTTTCCATCATTTTGTACTGTTGAAAAAGTTTCTTTTATGATTTCTAGCAGATTTAATACGGAATAAGTCGTAATAATCTGGTAAATATCGTTGTTTTGATAAATTTAAGCCATCCCTATCTTCAATAATGAACAATCATTGAAAAAAAGACAATGAATAAGTTCAAATTTTCACTTTTTAAATTGATTCTCTTTTCTTTCTTTTCTCTCACTGTGTAAAAAATAACACATTGAACCAATCATGATACAGTGTCAGTTGAGATATGGGTGGCGCTATTATCGATGTTCACATTGTAGGGG